TTTTTTTCCATTGTAAATGGGATGACTAAATCCATGTTCCTTCAAATCTCTGGTATAGAATATATCAAATAAAACTACTTGTCGCATTTTTTTAATCAAAAATTTCCATAGATCTATAGTAAAAGTTGTTCATATTGACGCGTAGAATAGAAAGCCCTATTTTGATTACACCATATATATAACTATTTTTTTAAATAATTTGTAATTATTAGTTAGACGTAAATAAAAAAATTAAACTGATAAAAAGGAGGCCTTATCATTTATATGTCATTTATTCAGAAGAAAAACCTATACATAACATACACAAATATATTGATACATTCGTTATTAATAAACTATTCATTTTTAAGTATTTCTGGAATACATTCATAACTATGAACTTAACTACTAAGCCATAGCAAAAAATAAATTTTCCCGTTAATCGCTTAATAGTTAAGCTGCTGGCATTTACAATTATTCTCGCACACTAGCATCATGCAAATTGTCTTATACACACTACAATATTAAGATGCCGCACTCACGGAGCTGTTACTTGCAGGGAGCGCGGTATCTAATCAGAGCGCGCGATGTCTTATCATTAATCTATGGCTGCTTGGTGTAAAAGTTTTGTCTGTTATAAGATTATCTCGGATCGGCGTATTAGTGTTATCTCGTTTTGGAATAGAACTCTTACACTCCGGGCATGTCCACCTACTTTTGTAAGCTTCTGAGAGTTCTTTAAAATCTTCCGTCGCTATAGCCAAGCAATTTAGGTGATACAACTTCTTACATTTTTGCTGTGAACACTGCATATAAAACTTATTATGTATCCAGGAATCACAGCCGTCACATTTTTTACCCATTTAAATGAGTGTGACTAAAAATCTAGTTATTACGCCAAAATTAATTAAAGCGTGTAGTGTTATGCTACTTACATATCATTTTACACTATTTTAAACTCATTTTTCCATTCTGTTTTGATTTTCTGCATTCACCTCAAAACTGGATATTTTGTATCACCTTTATTTCCATAGGATCCTGTAACGTTTTTAAACCATAAGAACACAATAACAAATCATTTTCACTTCGTATTTTCACGCTATCAGCATTTTTTAATTTGGTGTCGATGGAGTCTACCTTTTTCGATCTTTTATTTAGTTCTCCGTAACTCTGCAATTTCGGGCTTTGTTCGCGCCAGTGCGCTACCTTTTTTCCTATAGCAATAATATCTCATTTTTCACTTAAATCTTGCCGTTTCTCTATTACGAGCCTAAAACCAAAATTTGACATGTTTTGACATCATTGTTTATCTGGTTGTCATGGCAATTTTTATTCAAATTCGCTACCGGTCTGTTGTTTCTACTTCGATAATTCCACATAAATACTCTTTCCTCTTAGCCATTTACAAAAAAATTGCTTTTAATTTAAATAAGGATCCCAGCGACTTCAGGCAGGACAGAGGCCTGCAGGATCCGGCGACTTCAGGCAGGACAGAGGCTTGTAGGATCCGGCGAATTCAGGTAGGACAGAGGCTTGCAGGATCCGGCCACTTCAGGCAGGACAGAGGCTAGCAGGATCGGGCGACTTCAGGCAGGGCGAGGCTTGCAGGGTCCTGGAGACTTCAGGCAGGACAGAGGCTAGCAGGATCGGGCGACTTCAGGCAGGACAGAGGTTAGCAGGGTCCCGGCGGCTTCAGGCAGGACAGAGGCTTGCAGGATCCCGGGGCAGTGCGGCCCCGGGATAAGGCCTTTAGGAGATTCTTCAAGTTTGAGAACCGAAGCGAGACTGTCTTTCTTGACCGATTGTTCGGCTTTTATACCTTTTTAGAGAGAACGGAAAATTATTACACATAGTCCCTTTTAGAAATAAGAGATCCAATTGGTAATCATAAGCCGTGCTTAGCATTTGGACGGATGTAAGACAGACTTTTTTTATACAGAATAAGTATGTATATAGAATAAAAATGATATACAAGCACTCAGTCCACCTGATGGTTCTATCTGGATAACAACGCGTATGCATTTTAATAGATCTACATCTATCAATATACAGACGCGTTGCGTTGTTACCCCTGAGGACTAAGATGGAATGTTCCGTTTCCAGTAAAAAGGGTTTCCGATTCTCTACACTCACCATACGAAACACAGCAGAATTAGGCCCGCCACATACGTATGGAATTCGGATTCCGTTTCGATATTCCGATTCGGAATTCCGAATGCAGCAAGTCCATATAAAATCTATGACCAGCCACACACGTACGGTAGCTTTTCGTTCGCAATTTTGCGGGCAAAACGGGATTCCGTGTGTGTGGCCGACCCGTTCGGAATTCTGTATATATGTGGCCGGCCTAAAGCTGCTATTTTAAGTTGATGTTCGAGCGTGATTCTTCTCCGATCGCGTCGACCTATTCGTACCGCAACCATAATATAGATGCAGCGTGGGAACCATCTTACCAATATTTTTGAGTGGTAACCTTGTATAGTATTGTGCGAACCTCCACTAGATGGGGCGACAACCTAAAGAAACATACAGATTGTCGTTGGATGCAAGTGGCTTATGACCATACTTTGTGACAAACAATGAGGAAGCCTATGTTCAGGTCTATATGCAGAGGATTTGCGATGTAATTAAAAAAAGAAAAACAAGAAAAAATAAAGGAAAAGAAAAGTATTTATTTTTATTTTTTTTAATTAATTTATTTTAAAAAGAACAAAACCTCCGCACAATTTTCTCCTGTATCGTGGGGGCAGTTTACAAATACAAATTGCAAAAGGACAAACATCCAGACCCGGAACAATTATTTGTAGGTAAAACAATACTTGTTCCATGCGGGATTAAAACTAGCGGCCCTTAGCTCAACCTCAAACAAATCTCAATATTTACTTAATCTTGACTTAGTTTAAAAAAAAAACCTATTCACTTTTTCCTAATTTTATCCAGATTGGTGTCATTCATCCTTGAGAAAAAAAATATATATATATATATAAGATATCCTGCTTGATCGACTCGTATATCAACGCACAGAACTCACAGTCCACCTGATTGTTAGCAGTTTTGCAGTTCATGGACACCTCCAACGAACTTCAAACAAAGAAGATTACAGATGTGTTGTCAACTCCGAGGACTAAGATGGAATGCCCCACAGACTGGAATTACGCTTGTTCTCGGTACCCACGACCGGAAGACAGTGACAGAAATAGTTACGAGGGTGGTACGTACCCAGACGGAGCCAAGCCAGGAAAGGAGTCCTACCATCCAGTATAAGACAATATCTTATTTGTATTTTTTTTATCGTTATTAAGTTACAATTACAGTAGGTCAATGTTAATTCATTTAATCGTTCAAGAGCGTGTGTTGCAATCACAAGTCTAATATTAGTTTCAATGTCGACAATTTCTCAGGACGCTGTCAACGCCACCGTTCTATTAAAATATGTGTACATCCTAAGTTGGGGCTGGCAGAAATCACTCCGGATGTATTTCTAAGAACAAACTGACCTTCAAGCCCGTGCAAAAATATGCAAATATTTAATTGCATCTTCAGATATCCGAATTCATGAAAAAGATTTTTAAGTTTCTTTAATAAAGTATGTAAATTAATGATATTATCGCGTTTAATTTAAATTTATTTTTAGTTCCCGACGCTTGGAACATTTGTGTCGGGTACATAGGTTTGGATAAAATTGACGTAGGTCAAAGCTGCAATTCCCCTGGTGTTGCAGTTGTTCATGGCTGCGGTAGTCTCTCACCATTAGGTGAGCCGGAGGCTTGTTTTCCCCATCTCCTATTTAAAAAAGTTTAGTTTATCTATACAAATAAATAAAATTGAAGTGTCTGTTTGTAATGTTAAAATAACAGCTTTTTACTAAATGCATATGAAACTATATACGATACTGATAACAAAAACACTATTTATAAAATGTCTATATGTCTGTCTGTCTATCTGTTTGTTCAGGCTACTTTGAAGTCCTCAGGGGTGACAACGCATCTGCATTATGAAGATAGATGTAAATGCTTATGGGCCACAGCACAATATCTATCAGCAACAACTTTCGATCAGGTGGATTGTGTGCTCGTTTATTCTATAAAAAAAATGGCATCTAGACCGAACTTTTTGTCACGACGGCCAGTCTCAATAAATCCTAGCCATTTGCGCAGGATAGAATAATAGTGCTCAAGCATACGCGCAAGCACAAGTGCATTCTCTATTCCCTCACTTTCATTGTCCAATGGGACGATAATCCGACACGACCGGAGAGTGATCAGGCGCAGTACCAACGGTTTTACGTGCTTTCAGAGGTACGGGGGTGTAACATCGCATAATTCTTAACTCCGGGCTGCTAACGAATATTTCTTGACAGAAAAACTCAATAACTGATTATTGGCTCGACCTGGAATTCGAACCAGGATCCACATGATCAGCAGTCGCGTTCACAACCACCAGACCAACGAGACAGTCGAGCATAATAATATAATTGACGTAACGAAATGGAATATAAAAACACGTACACCAATAAATTTATTAACATTTATTTATTGCTTTCGTCCCTTTAAACCAGGGTTTCCCAACCTTTTTTGACCAGAGACCACTTTGTTTTTTTTTTGTAGTTAGCAGGGACCACAAGGTAAAAGAAAAAATTGTGTTAATCTAACAAAATATTATAATCACAACTTTTAATATAATTATATAATTAACTGAAAAGAAGCATTCATTAACAGTATTATTTGTGTATTTATTGTAAAAGCTAGTAGGTATTTTCTAACGTGACGCGTGGTGTTGCACTGCCCGCGTAACGAGAAAATAATAAATGTGTTATTTAAAACGAATAGGTAGGTAAAATATTTAAATGTTACGTGGACCATATTTAAGCTCTTGCGGACCACTGGTTGGGAATCGCTGCTTTAAACCATTAACAAGTTTAATATCACAATAATTTATTACAGCTAATACTATAACTACATTGTTACTTTTAAGGGCATTTACATTAAACACGTTAAAGTCAGTAGTGTTAGCCCATGTATCTAGACCTCAAGTTTGTTAAGCTTGATCCACACTCCGCCGTCAGCGGAGCACGCCAGCGAAGAGGCCTTGATCTTCATAGGCACCGGAGAGCGGTCATCCAACGACAACTCATACTTGTGCAACAGCTTCACAAGTGCAAGCTTCGATTGGACGTACCCTTGACGGAGACCTAAAATATTACGTCAATTATAACACGAAGTATTGATGTAATATGCAAAAGAATTTCGTTTCCAATGAAACGAGTTGGTTATTAGTTATTCGAATTCGGTAGCTAACAACAACATTACTATGTCATAATATTATATATTTTGAATTTGCTGTTTTAGTACTGTCATAAACCTTGATAGATTTTTCATTAAATTAGATTTGTCTTATTTAATAACGCTGTTGCTAATTATATTATAATCGTATAAATACAAAAACTTATTCGCTCTATAACTTTAAAATTAAAAGTTAAATGTTTTCAATATTGTATTTTATGTCATTAAAATGTACACGACTTTAGGGCGACCACCCCTGCCGCACCTTAAGGCCTTAACAGTGGTTGAAATGCCTAAATCTAGGATATTTAAGTAAAAAAATCTCAAAAACTGTTCATTTAATCCACAAAGAAAAAATATAGGGTAACAGAAGAAGATTTGACAAATGTTTTTAATTTAACAAAATTGAATTTTCGTCAACCCTTTATTAGAAAAAAAATCCCCAAAGAGTATCTATCTTTGTCATATTTTGCAAAATTTCTCCAAAACGGCACAAGCTTTTTAAATAGTTCTTACACTAAAACAAAGGTCTTAAAAATATTAATATTTTTAATTGAGAGTTTTATTTTTATTACCCGTTTTATAAGAGAATATATCATTTTTCCCTGAAATTGAATATATTTACGCGAGCGCGCATGCTCCGTCGCCATGTAAGCTCTGTGACAGTCCGTTTTCGGACATCGTCGAGGGTGGACTGTACGTCGGTGTTGGAGCGACTTCGTTCAAATATATATTAGTTTTTTAAAAGTTTATACTCAATTATAAATATTTTTATGACTAGAAATACTTAATTTAGTTAATATCTGTACACTGGTAACTGTAAATATTATTTTCTAAATAAATGAATTTTTAAAGTGCCCAAAGAAGAAGAAATTTTCGCAGCGACTTTGATTAGTGAAATTGAAAAGTGCATTTTTATATTTAGATGTGGAACGACGAACATGCTCTCGTTACTTAGATTTCGATAGTTTTTAATACCTATGTAATTTTATTGTTGCATATTTTTATTAATTAGTTGATACTGAATTTTATAATTATGTATTACAATAAAATGCTGTTTTTATGAGTATGACTTTATAAAATATTATTAGGGAGGGAAATTAAGATACAGATACTTACATTTAGGTACACTGTTATCAAATTAAATCAAACAATTTAAATAAATAAAAGAATGGTGCTTACCTAAGTATAAATGACTATATAAAGACATTCTTGGGTTTATGGTTTTTTCATGTTAGACAAACTATCATCTAAAAAAGTAAAAATTTTAAATTGGAGAGGGGTTTCTCTACGTGATAAAGTTAGAAATGAAGATATTTGCATTAGAACCAGAGTAACTGACATAGCCCAACGGAATATTACAATGAAATGGCAATGGGCTAGCTATATAACTTGGAAAACAGATAAAAAATAGGAAGAAAGGTCCTCGAGTGGCAACCTCGTACAGGTAAGCGAATCAGTACTCAACCTTTATTCCTCTTCACGTATTCTCATACGCTTTTCTTCACACATACACACACACACACACACACACACAAACAAATAGGTCGCAAATAATACTTACCTAGTACTATTAGGCAAGAGTGAATAGGTTTTTGTTAAGTCAGTGCAATTAACCATCTTAGACTACATAACCACTTACCGATGGGATTGTAGTTGCTTTACTACTTGCTGGGTAAAAATAGTAAAAAAAAATTTTCCCTGTGAAAGTTTGCATTTAGATATAATTTCTCTAACCAACCATAAAAATATGATGAGAATATGTATATAAGTAAAGGTTACCTCACACGGGACAGTGATAATATAATATTATATCTTCCATTATCTACGCATGAAAACTTAAAACCTCTGAATCCCGAGGTATGTTCATACTAATAGAGCCACATTGAAATGCATGGGGATCGTTTTGTAATTTCACGTCATTATCGAAAAAAAATTGTACGTATTTCAGGTGGCGGTTTGCAAAACACGATTCCACAAAAATTAACTCAATAGAAAATAATTGCTAAGTTGCTTCTAAAAATACTTAAATTTTCAACGTCAATTTTTTCTTACGTGGTAGAGCCATGCTGCGGTATATTTGTAGTATAGTTGTAGCACGAATGGGTCGGCTCGACTGAGGAAGGGCCATGCTCTCACGGAATAACATGTAAAATAGCAGTTTAACCCTGCTGTGTTTCGTATGGTGAGTGTAGAGAACCGGAGAACCTTTTTACTGGAAACGAGGCATTACATCTTAGTCCTCACGGGTGACAATGCATCTACATTTTGATACGTAATCGAGAATAGATGTAGATGTGTATGGGCCGTAGCAACCACTTACCATCAGGTGGACTGTGTGCTCGTTTGTCACCCTTATTTTATTAAAAAAAACTTTCTGAGATTTCAGTAAAATAATGTTAAGTATTGTAAGCACTCGTACAATTATGTCTCATGTTAATAAAGCTATTGGGCTATTTTGATTTTTAATAAAGTGATTTTACTTTATAGGTTAAATAATTTATTTACCTTTCTATATCAAGAACCGTTTTTCTGTCACTCCTATTGAATTTGACAGTGCTCGCTGAAATTTAGCATCTTTAGATGGATCAGAATCGCGCGCTGATCCGGCTGTTAGATATTGCAAAAATAATCGAAAATATTTGTTTTTACTTTCATGCCGAAGACTACCATGTTTTATTTTATTACGGTCAAATAATATTTATTAGGTTATAAAGCAAGTAGGTATTTTTGTAAATGTTTTGTATGTAAATGTAAATGTTTTCATTATTTTGTTATTCTATTGTTTACAGTTATTATTACGTCTTAGCTTTACACCAAGAATTACATTAGAAATTCTTGATGGGATGCGAAGTAACGCGCATACATTATTTTCATCAAGAACTATAATATATATATTTGTTTGTTTTTTTACCAGTAGAGTTTCAACAAAATCTTAAAAAAGTTCAATGAATTAAAAAAATGCCAATAATTATATAAATTCAAGTCAGTGTTTTACATTTAAAGATCAGTTATAAAGAGCCAATGTTATTATTTTCATTTTGATTAATTTAATTCGAGACTAAAATAAATGTGAAAGGGCTTTTATCTGCAATAATAATTTTCATCAAAAATAACATAGACTTATAAAAGTCATATACACGGTCAATCATACTGAAGATTATAAATTGTACTACAAAATATTTAAAAGACTATTTCCAGTATAATGACCCGAATATCATCCTTAATGTTTGACTGACACACTTAAAAGTTTTATCACATGGCTAAATGATTGACTTTTATATTATGATAAGGTCATGCTTTTCTATAAAAAGTTGCAAGAAATTTTAAATCACGGCCCTATTGGTTTGTTTTACTTTTTACTTAATTAGTGAAAAACAAAATGGACTGATCTAAAAGTTTACTTTCTTGTGTAAAAAGTGCTATTTAGAATTTTATGCAAATGATAGTTAAAGTTTCTATGTAAATAAGTGTAATAGCGGGTATTATATTCAATAGTAGCGGCCATCCATATTTGCAAAGCCAGCATCATTTTCTGTACAGAAACCGGCAAAGTGTTGCTCAAGGCACTATAAACAAAGCAGCTGATAAAATGTTATACTCATAACTGTTAACAAAAACTGTTTCCGCAAATGCTCTTATAGATAATAATAACTATTCCGCCGTGTTAGGTGCAGCAGCTATTATTAGAAGGAGAAGAGGTAAAATTTTGTTTTAGAAATGCGCATTCAATATTGTTTTGTCTGCATACATAATACATACATATATACATAAACACTCACGCCTGTCACCCAGAGGGGTAGGCAGAGATTATGGACTTCCATTTGGCACGATCCTGACACACCTCTCTCGCTTCCTCCACATCCATATACCTACGCATACACGCTCGTCGGTTAAAGGTACTCTTGATTTGGCCCATTTTTAATATATCGCCAATTTGGTCGATAAACTTTCGCCTAGGGCGACCCTTCCCGACTATGCCGTTCACCTCTGCAACATAAATTTGCTTTGTCACTCTTTCCTCATTCATTCTTTCTACATGGCCAAACCACCGAAGCATTCCTTTCTTAATCCTGGTCACAACATCATCTTGCAAACCACACTCTTCTCTTATTAAACAATTTCTCACTCTGTCATTCAGCTTCATCCCTAACATACTCCTTAATGACCGCATTTCTACAGCATTTATTCTACTCTCATGCTTCTTCTGCCACACCCAACTTTCACTACCATACATTAAAGTAGGTACTAACACAGCATTGTGAATTGCCATACGTGCCTTTTTGGACACATTCTGACTTTTCACAATAGAGTGTAGAGCCCCATTCACTCTATTTCCTGCATTCACTCGTCGTTCTATATCCTTATCATATCTACCATCCCTGCTAAACACACATCCCAAATATACAAACTCATCTACTTGCTCTACCAACTCCCCTTCTATTCTTATTTCACATATCGTTTTACTTTCTTCTCTTTCAAAAACCATAACTTTCGTCTTACTTGCGTTCACTTTCATTCCCTTTTCTTTTAATGTCCTGTTCATTAATGTGACCATCATTTGCAACTCGGCTGCCGACGACGCAAGTATGACGTTTTGTCTGCAATTGAGCATAAAATAAAAAATAACTTCAACCAAAGAGTATAACTGGCATTATACTCAGGCCCATCAATTGGTATGGAAAAAAATAATTTTACCAGGTTTCAAAAAATCAATCAAAATTAAATAAAAAACATAAATATTCAAATCAAAAAATTTATATATGTATGTCTATACATACATATAATGATTTATGGCCGCTTACTAACTGACGGCGACTCACTAAAACATCCTACAGTCACGCCGAAACTAAGAGGAGAGAATTACTGTAGAAAAGGTAATAATTTATTGCGGAAATTTTGTTATAAAATTTAAAAAATTATAAACTTATCCAAGTTAATCTAACTTATCCTTATGCGTTACAAAAAAAAAACAAATAATAAAATAGTGAGATGGCGTCAGTTTTTAAGAAGATATAATAAAAATAAACAAAAAAATAAATTTCAAAAAAGTTCAGTATTTAATTGATTATATACCGCTGACACTTAATCACGCTTTTCGAAACCACGCCAGTTGTAAACAATACTTGTGTGAAAATACAAAATCTTTTCAAATTTCCGCCGAGTTGTAAGTAGAAGGCCAAATAGGTCACGTGCCAATTTTAATTAAATATATTTTATATGAAGTGATCTTGACTACGTTTCATAAATTAACCATTGGTAAAAATTAAAACAGGAATTTTACGATTGGGTTTACAAAAAACGTTATTAGTTAAACCTTGCAGCTTGTTCATTATTTTTATTATAAATACCTATAAATGTATATATTATTAATAAATAGTTCCCATAATATATTGGATTATTTTTTATTTTGCCCTATCTGCAATGTTCTACGCTCTATAGAAAATGTGGCGTATGACATGACTGACAATCTTTCGAACATTTTATCTAGGTACAAAGATGTTTTACGTTTTCGTCGCCTCCACATGATATTTTTGTCAGCATAAGGTACCCTTCTATATCTGAAACGAATATAAATATTACTACAAAGTAAAGTAATAGGCTATACAAGTCCCTCTACTGGGCACAGGACTCTTTTTTTATTTCTGAAAGGGTTTTAGGGCAAGGAAATGCCCGCCGTGCTTCCCCAATGGGTGTTGACGAAAATTGCAATTACAAATTTCATTCGTGCTGTCGGGGATCAAACCCGGGAAAATTTACAGCGAACGCTTTGACGACATATTTTTAATACGACACAAATAAATACGATTTAACATATATAATAAAAATTCTTACGTACTTGAAACTTGAACACTTGATAGGTCGTGATGCCTACCGGACAAAGCTACAGCACCACACCGTGCAATGTAATTGAAGATGCGTAACCACGACATAATTCTCAGTGATGCGCAAGCATAACAGGCAGTATGTCACTTATATAATTGTCATCTCTGCAGTCTATTAATCTTTGCACTTTTATAAGTAATACAGAACGTAGTTGCTAGACGGTGTTGACATCGTCTAAAATCTCTGCGATCGCCGTTTCGTCAAGGTCATTCAGGCTAGTTAAAGCCTTAACTTACTGTAACTGATATTGCTAGATGTGCTGTAATGTTTTAATATGTCCAAATAACTTAATCACACGAAGAAGTATTAGAGCATATATATTTATTATGTATATTTTTTGAATTCAAAGTATTTACAATATATCGAACGAATATAAATAAATAACTCATACGAATTTAACGATGAAACTTTTAAAAAGTGAAACTGCATTTAAAAACATAACAGAATAAAATAATTTTATCATAATAATAATAATCTGGGCCTCTTCAAGGCAAGAGTGAATAGGCTTTTGTTACGCTAAGACAGTTCGATTTACCATCTAGGGCTGCATCACCACTTACCACCAGGTGGGATTGTGGTCAAGCACTGGCTTGTAATAAGTAAAAAAAATAACTTTTAAAGTCGGTGCTTAAGGCATAGGTAGTGTATTAATTATTGATTTATATTTCTATATACCTATTATAACCTAATAATAATAATTATTACTTACTTAAAGTTAATTTAGTTTTAACAAAATAATGATGAATTTCATGGTCTTCTATCTTATATTATAATTAAAATATTTATTTGAGATATTGCATGCCTTTAGCGCAGAGCGCGTATGTATGTTCTGCTAGCGCCTAAAAATGAAGATTCCAACGTTTTGTCGCATGAAATCGTATCTAACAATCATATTAAACATATAAATGATATAAAAAGCACATTGTCAGAAAGATGAATGATTGTTCAACTTATTTTTTTTAATCGATCAATTGCTATTTATACATAATAAAGCGGTTTTAGTGGCATAAGGTGTAGATTTATAGTATATATTATTTATACGATGTTTTCCTTCACCACCGAGCGCGTGGTAAATCAGTACTTAAAATTGCAATTAACAATTTCATTGGTGCCAGCGGGGATCGAACCCGGTTTGCTCGCATACTGTGTAATTTGCAGAGAGCGCTAACCATCTGAGCAAATATCGGAAAATTAACCTTTGTATTATTTATAAGAACTGAAACTAAGCTTTTGCATGATTGTTAACCACATCTACCTAGTAATTATACATCCAACTATGCCACGAACGAATTTTCAATTATTTACATCGTATATTCAGTAGCATTATATTATTTCATTTTATCAGTGACTTACCATTTTAGTTTATTTAGTAGTAAGTAGATGGCGCTATTATTAGATGAAAGAATGAAAGCCAAAACTATACTGTCTAGTAATATCTGCGATTGAAGGGAACATTTATTTATTATATCAATATCACATAAAGTAATGTCAATTGTGTTAAAAGTTCTGTTTCTGTTAAAAAATATGCTAACAGCGCCGCTAGCGCTGAAAAACGATTTGATGACATCTTCATATGACCATAATATCATGAAATAGCAACGTTGTGTTTAGTTATTAATATCTTCAATCGATTTCCATTCATGGATTTGGTCAAGACATGGTCAACAAACAGTGTTAAATATCATGAAATGACCACACCATTTCACGAAATGATAGACTACTTTATGATATATGATCAAATCTACGATCTGGCCACGACATAATAAGTATATAAAATTCTCTTTAATAAAACTATAATGATAAAGGAAATTTTGCAATAATTGCACAGACCAGTTTTAATCAGTTTATATATACAACATGTAACAAAAACCCTGTGGTTCCCGGTAAGTACGTTATCAGGATCAGTATTCAAACCTTTAGGAATAACTTTTTTTAAAAACTCGACCTTTTTTTAACTAAAATTAAAAAAATATTGTTCAGGTTTTTAAGAAAAAGTTATTTCTATACGTTTGAATAATGATCCTGATAACGTACTTAACCGGAACCACAGGGTTTTTGATCATATTGAAGATAAGTAATTAAAATAAAAACCTTGTCAATTTTCATGTTTTTGATAGACGTTACTATTATCTATTGAAATTATTACACTTTTAAAATAACATAACAACAATACTAAAAAACTAAACATTAGAATTTTTAAATAATTTTAAAAATCTAATTATTTAAACATATAAATGTAAGTTATTTATATTATTTAATTTATTAGTAACCGAAGGTAAAATTTATTCCTTTTCCATTTGACGATAGATGGCGCTGTTTTGAAAACTAAATCGGTGTAGGTTCAAATTTAAAATTTTACCAAGGTTATAACTAATCAACTTTGATATTTATTACCAAATATGATATTTATTTGAAAAACACCCGTCATCCCGCCTATAACTAAGATATTAATAGAAAATTAACCCTGCGCCATCTTTTCCCAAAAGAGGGTCGCTTTCGATACGGCATAAGAAGCTTTAAATAGCTGGTTGCCAGTCCCCAAAGGCGGTTTTTAGGGGGTATCACTCAGGCTCCCCGGTAGGCAGTGAGTCCCCATAGCCACGATGGATAGCCTATCGTGGTATGCGTAATGCATTTTCCGCCTCCCTACGTAAAGGGTAGCCCTTTTCCAATTGCTTCGGGCGCAAAAAAAAAATCTAAAGGAAGGAAAATACTTAACCTTCTTTTTCGAAGTTCAGTAATTTGATAACAAGTATCATGTAAGTTGCCCCGAGTTACTGACGTACATACAAAATTTCATGTAAATCGCTTCAGTAGTTTTTGCGTGAATCCGGAATACACAGACAGACAAAAATTCTAAAAACCACTATTTTGGCTTCAGAATTATTTATTTAGTCCTCTGGACTTGTTTCTTCAAGAATATATTAGATTACAGACACGACTTTTCTACAGATTTATTATATGTATAGATTTGCTAAGCTTTAGTTTCCTTTAAAATGTCTGTTATAGATTTTTTGTGCTACATGTTGGTTTCTTAGAAAATAAATTGGTATTAGTAATCGTAATAGTTATTTCAAAATAACTTACCTAAACACTTACGCGGACCTTCACCGAAAGGCATCCAATGACATGAATGCATCTTAGCCTTTTTCTCAGGTACGAATCTCTCAGGATCGAATGTCTCTGGGTCCGGGAATATGTCTGGATCCATTTGTATAGCTTGTATGGGAATGAACACTAGTGTTCCTTCTTCAATGACAACATCGCTATTTGGCATTGTGTACTCCTTAGTACACCTTCGAAACAACGCGCGCATCGGAGGATACTTTCTCATTGTTTCTGCGAAAACAAAATGTTATAGTTTTATTTATTATTTATTTAACAGTTTATGTACACACATGCTTGGATAGGAAAATGGTAAAAAAACATAATTATTTACAAATGCTTATAGCTTATTCCATGATGAAATTTCTGCCAGCAGGCCTATTAAAGGATAGTTGAAGGAGATAGAGCTAGTCAAAGTGTGCACTTACATTATATATATGTATATATAAATATATATATATATATATATATATATATATATATATATATATATATATATATATAATATTTTTATAGTATATAATGATATACTATAAAAATATATTTCAATATATATTTTATTAGTTGTATAAGTCTCTTTTGCGAGAGAAGCCCCAGTGTAGGATGCTACGTGCATAGACACTTTAGCAACCTTTCAACACGGGGTTACCACACTCAGAACCGGATTCGGAACGCGCCTCTGATGGATGTTTTGTGTCATTCGTTGTAGAAGTTATCAGGCCGTGAGGTCCACGGTCCTCATGCGGTGAAGTTCCTAAAGAAACCTATATCCACGATTTGTCGTCGCCGCTGTTAATAAGAGGGCTTAAAGGCTGAGCAGGGCGCAACCAAACGCTTAACAGCTACGGATCAGAGATTTTATGTTTTGTATTAGAAGTTTTTTTTTTAATTTATTATATATTTATTTAGTGACTACCAACGCCAATCAACAACGCAATACCAGGGGAATTACAGGTACATGGCAGGCCTTTTAAAAAAGAGGAGGTTATTTTCCTTAAGGTTTCATTATTCCACAAAAATCGTACGGAAGAAAACCTCTAATAAATCACACTGTGATAGACCGCCAAGTGTAAATTAATTGTAATTATATGGAGCTCTTTTTTTAATCTATAGATTTGCTTGATGACAAAAAAAATAACCAAATATAATAATGTTGCTTAGACATTAGACATTAGAATTGTTACTTATTTTCAAATATGAGACTTACCATCGTTCTCAAATGACAGCCTCGCACCGATAACTGAAGTGTAAGGCAGCCCCCTACTAGATGGAGTGACGACTTTGTAAGGGAAGAAGGAAGCCGATGGATAAAGTTAGTTTTTTTTCTTTTTTTTGCTCTTTAAATAAATGTTACTTCCAACATCCTAACCCGGCACAATTGTTTGTAGGCCATACAAAGACTTGTTTCGTGCGGGAATCGTACCTGCGGCCCGTAGCGTTGCAACTCATTGCTAAGACACTGCGCCACGGATCCATCAAGGCCTATATCTAGCGGTGGACTTGTAAAAGGCTCTAATGATAATGATAATGAACTCACCATCTAAGACCATGTTCATGTAAACCATTTCACTCTGTGCTTCAAAAGTGCACTTTCCGTCATATTTCGCCAGTACTCTTTTTATCTCATCCCTGGCCTTTTGTTGTACGAGAGGATTGAGGGCCAGCTCGTAGGCCGCTAACTGGCCAGTGGTCGCTGAGGTCTCGTAACCAGCAAACATGTACAGCATCGTGTTAGCAGCAACGTCATTCATTGAAAATATACCTTTCTGTATTTTACTCATGCCTAAAACAGAAGGAAACGATTTAAAAAAATTACATATTTTTCAGGATAGCCAGAATATTAGAATTTATCTACAGGAGGATTTAATTCAGCTGGCTAGGATTTAAGGAACATCGTCCGGTCTTTTTGTCACTCTCTCTTACTCTCCTCTAGATGAAAGTATTCGACCAGAACGCTACCTGTTATCACGTACGATGAAACGTCGTCTTTAACTCAAACTCGCTTTGCGTATGCCTGAGAGTGCTACATTCGGTGTTTATGGTTGACTTAGAATATTAGTGACAAAGGTTCTTTGCCACGGTAGCTTCTCGTATTTACTTACAAACTGAAGTGGCAACAAGCTGGTCACATTTTTCGCAGTAGTGACAATCCTTGAAATAATAGTTTCCCGAAACGTTAACTCCTTTTAATAAAACGTAATGTAGGACGTACTTTAGCTACATGGAGAGACGATTTGAGCAAGGTAGTAACCGGATGCGTAAAGCCGAAGATTGTTCAAAATGACGCGCCTTAGAAGAAGCGTTTATCTAGCAAGGGTTGTTGCAGTCTAATGATAATGGTAATATAATAAAACTATATACACAACAGATACTAGAACGGCCAGCTCTAGGGAAGCAAGCGACTTAGTGATTTTAGTATGAAGCGCCTTATAGCATTTGAGGATATTCTTCTCCATTGATCAGTATCTGGATTAAATTATCCCATTATGTGTAGTGGCGGTGTTCATACAATATTCATATATTACTACCCCATATCGTTGTGTGCTTGTCATAAGAGGCGACAGAGGGAAACAAAACAGGAAGTGGGTAGCAGTGTCTTCCTAATAACAACTAAAAAAAAAATCTGCGGTCACCAACCCGCCTGCGAGGCGTGGCAAATATGACAGATACTCCCTTTATGAGCCAATCTATTGGGCAGGCCTACGTTTATTTTTACGATTATTGCAATTTTAACAAAATTGAATTGATAGATTTTCTTGCGGCTACAAAGATGTATTTTTGTTAACAAGCATAACAGCTGTATAAAGGTATCCCTCCAAGGTACACTTTACTGAGCGCTAGCTTCAGGCTAACAGGTCTTCTTAACAACGATTGATGCTCATGTCTAGCAATACACTTTTACGTGCTGGTGAAATAGAAGATATATATAATGAAACATTCGCGCCCCAAAAATTTATTTTTACGTATTACGTCATTTTTATTCACTCTCACTTTCTTTAAGTCGGTAAAACGTTTGAGGCTTAAGTCTATTTTATTTGTTTATTATTTATTGTACACCAAATACAGAATGGGAGTAGAAATACAATTTCAAATTTATGTACAACACCCGGTCTTATCACTAGCGGATTTCAGTACAGTAGTTCATTGACTAATCAGGCACACTAAATGAATTATTAGAAAAACTTCAGTCCACGATATCTAATATATAAAATTTAATTTTTGTTTGTTCGTATTTCATGCGCTGCAATACTTTTCATCTTTGCGGGGAAACGGTCAACTTATTGTTTTCTAAGGTTATAGACATAGTACCATTAAGTTATAGTAGGTGGCGCGCGTATAATCATTCAACTTCAAATTTCAATGAATGTATTAACATTTCAAATTCTTCTTCCAAGTTTAAATTTACATTTCCATAATTATATTATCTTCTGTGGCTGCAACGCGCCAGGTATCTGTTAGTATTTTGAAAACCAGCGTGAAGTTAGAGGTTTACCTCTGCGTTTCGCTTGGTGAGTGCAGGTGGTCGGAGGCCCTTTTTACTGGAAATGAGGCATTCCATCTTGGTCCTCACGGCTGACAACGCATCTACATTTTGATTTGTAATGGAGGATAGATGTAGAAGTCTGTGGGCCGCAGCAACCACTTACCATCACGTGGACTGTGTGCTCGTTTGTCACCCTTATCCAATAAAAAAAGTATTATATAACATTAGAGAAAGTCTTTAAGTCACAATAATGTTCATAACATAGTGTTCAGCCCGTAAAAGTCCTAGGTGGACATAGGCTTATTTTGTTATAGGGAGGATTTACACTAATCGTAAAATGTAGTGGCGGTCAAGAATATCCACTACCCCATATCCTCCCGTGGGTGTCGTAAAAGGCGACAAAGGGAAACAGGCAGGAGATGGGCAGCAGCATCTCCCTGATAATAGCCAAAATGACAATAAAAAAACTGCGGTTGCTAACCCGCTCGCCAAGCGTGGCAACTATGACAAATACCCCCCAAAGATTAAAGCAACAAACAGACGGCCCCCAGTCCTACGGTGGCGACCATGGTAACGGCGGGGCAGGGGGTGCTAAGAACCTGCGCTGGAGGTTTGGTTGCCACCTTAGACGACTCGACCTGGCAACGTACAACGCACGCACCCTGAGGACTGACGAGAAGATCGTGGAGCCGGAAGAAGAGATAGACAAGTTGCGCTGGCATATTATAGGATTATCCGAAGTTCGAAGAGAGGGGGAGGACACGGTAATCCTGGAATCCGGCAACTAGCTCTATCACCGGGAGGGCAACCATCTGTCCCAAGGAGGTGTCGGATTTATCGTCCACCTCACGTTAACAACGTTGTAAAGATCGGGAGTGTGTCGACGAGGGTTGCGTACCTTATACTCAGAATCACCAAACGGTATTTGCTGAAGGTCATACAGGTTTACGCACCAACCTCGGCACACCCCGATGAGGAGGTGGAGGAAATGTATGAGGATATCTCTAGAGCCATGCATTCCTCCAAAACCCAATATACGGTGTTAATGGGAGACTTCAATGCAAAATTAGGCACAAGATAGAACGGTCAGCTGAAAGTAGGGAAATTTGGAATAGGGCAACGGAACCCAAGGGGCCAGCAGTTGGCCGACTTCATGGAGAAAGAGGGACTCTTTATGATGAACTCTTTCTTCCAGAAGCGGCCCCACAGGAAGTGGACCTGGTCGAGCCCCGACGGTTCGACAAAAAATGAGATTGACTTCATTATGACGACCAGACGACAACTGTTCAGTGATGTCTCCGTGATCGCGAGGGTGAAAACTAGTAGCGATCACCGAATGGTTAGAGGCATACTGAACCTAAACGTTAAGTTGGAGAGGTCTCGTCTAATGAAGTCAACGCTCCGTCCCCCTCGTGCTCTGTTGCAAAGTCCCGAAACCTTTTAGCTCGAGTTACAAAACCGTTTTCAGTGCCTAGAAGACTGCAATAAAGTGGACGATATGAATGACAAGCTCGTGGAAACTGTCCATGCGGTCGGAGCTAAGTTCTGCAAGACCCGCCGCAGAAGAACACAAAAACTCTCCGATCACACTTTTAATCTCATGACTGTTAGACGGGAGATGAAGCTACATTCTTCAACAGATTTGACAGCATACAGGCAACTGAACAGACAGATCTCCAAATGCATGCGGCAGGACTTACGCAACTTCAATACAGCTTGCATTGAAGAAGCGATCGAGCGGAACCAAGGCTCCAAAGTCTTTGCCAGAGATCTGTGTGCCAGAAAGAGCCAACTATCAAAGCTGAAGACCGAGTGTGGCAGCATCGTTTCCGGGACACCTGAGATTTTGAGTGAGATTGAGAGGTTCTATGGGCAGCTGTACACGTCATCGTTGGAGCCACACGCAAGTGTGAGTAACGGTACAAGAGCGAGTCTCATCCAACACTATTCCGAAGCTATCCCGGACGTCAGTCTGAGCGAGATTAGAATGGCTCTCCAGCACCTTAAAAACGGCAAGGCCCCAGGCGAGGATGGAATTACAGCGGAGCTTCTGAAAGCGGGTGGAAGACCGGTACTTGAAGTCCTTCAGAAGCTCTTTAATTCCGTCCTCCATGGTGGCATTACACTGGAGGCGTGGAGCAGAAATGCGGTGGTCTTGTTCTTCAAGAAAGATGACAACGCTCTCTTGAATAACTACAGACCGATTTCCCTTCTGAGCCGCATCTACGTGCTGTTTTCGAGAGTCATTAAAGACATAAAGACATTTATTCCGACACTTCATATTACAATGACAAATTAATAAACAAAATTAATACGAATAAGAATAAAATAATAATAAAAAAAATTAAAACACAAGAAAATGAATAAACAAAAAAATAGAGGATATAACAACAATTCATGACTTAATAATCGAAACAGATGAAGTGGCGGAAGGGACCGCCTCAGCATAAGCCGCGGGATAGCGACGCTGATTTTCAGTCGGCCCCATACGGTCCTACGGAGACCGTGCCGTAAGTGTCGACATTAAGCGAGTAGTAGATACATATGACAATAACAACTGATGAATGACAATAACAAAATGGAAAATGCGTTTTGTATAGTTGTGCTGAATGTAAGTTACTGAACGCTACGTTATATGTGACGGGAACATCATATAATTTAACAGTGTATATTATAAAATCACTAGCTGCCCAGGCAGACGTTGTTCTGCCCTTAGCGGCGAAACTTTGTACTATAAAAGTCCTTAAATTTGCAATAAAAAAATTGAGGGTCACTTATCGGGATAAAAACTATCCTATGTCTCAAGCTGGACCAAACTGCACAGAGTGTACAAATTTGGGGTGAGTGGCTTCGGAGTTCATCGCGGACAAACAACGTGACACGTAATTTTTATATATAAAGATAATGTAATGTATGATTTGTTATATATACACACACATACATACACACATACATACATACATACATATACACATACAACACACATATATACATATATATATACATACATATATACATATATATACACATACACATATACATAAACACACACATATATATATACACATACACACATATACATATATATACATAGATACATACGTTTAATAGGATTTTCGTAATAAATAATAATATGTAATAGCATAATAAATATTATGTAAACGGAAAATCAGCTAACGTCTAACGTCTGAAGAAGAATATCGCAAGATGAAGCGCGGGTGAGATACTTGCTATGCTTGCGAGACCAGTCTAACTTATTAAAAAGATACTTTGGATTTTTTGTCTTTATGACGCCAAAAAGTACACAAGCTAAATGAAGTTTGCGTCTGGCAGCCATTTTAAGAATATTATTGTCGTCAAGAAATGGGCTTACGTGACCTCTTGGCGGTGGTACATCGAAGCAAAACCTCGCACAAGCATTTTGGACCCGTTGAATAAGGTGTGCGGTACGTGACAGTAAACAAGGCCCATAAACCGTATCAGCATAATTAAATTTTGATAGTACTAGGGTGTCCGATAGTCTTTTTCGTAATTCTATACTTAAGTGTTCACGCATTCTGTACAGGATTTTTAACCTATAAAAACAGTTCTTAACAATGTTATTGATATAATCTTGAAATTTGAGATCAGGGCTAATTATGATTCCGTAATCGTCTCGCGCGCATACTTGACGACTTCCAGCCTCCCGAACAAGCCGGTTTCCGAAAGGGCTTTAGCACCATAGACCACATACATACCCTTCGGCAAATTGTACAGAAGTCCGATGAGTACAATTTGCCACTATGTCTGGCGTATGTGGACTATGAGAAAGCCTTTGATTCCGTCGAAATTTGGGCGGTGCTGCAGTCCCTTCAGCGGTGCCAAGTTGACTGTCGGTATATCGAAGTGCTGAAGTGTTTATATAGTAGAGCTACGATGGCTATCCGAGTACAGAACCAGAGTACGAAACCTATCCAATTGCAGAGAGGTGTAAGACAGGGTGATGTTATATCCCCGAAACTCTTCACCGCTGCATTGGAAGACGTTTTCAAACTTCTGGACTGGAAAGGATACCGTATTAACATCAATGGCGAGTACATCACTCACCTTCGATTTGCCGACGATATAGTCCTTATGGCAGAATCGCTGGAGGACCTAAGCACTATGCTCAATGACCTCAATAGTATCTCCCAACGGATAGGTCTTAAGATGAACATGGACAAAACAAAGATTATGTTTAATGTCCATGTCACACTTATGCCGGTAGTTGTTGGGAGCACTAAGCTCGAAGTTGTTGACGAGTATGTTTACCTGGGACAAATAGTCGACGGATTCAACTCGGCTGGGCAGCGTTCGGGAAGCTACGACACATCTTCTCGTCAGACATACCTCAAAACTTTAAAACGAAATTGTACAACCAGTGCGTGTTGCCAGTGATGACTTACGGAACTGAGACGTGGTCCTTCACTGCTGGCCGTATGAGAAAGCTCAAGGTCGCTCAGCGAGCTATGGAGAGGGCTATGCTTGGAGTTTCTCTGCGTGATAAACTTAGGAATGAGGATATCCGCAGTAGAACCAGAGTAAACGACATAGCCCAACGGATTAGTAAGCTGAAGTGGCAGTGGGCCGGCCATATAGCTCGAAGAACCGACAACCGATGGGGAAGAAAGGTTCTCGAGTGGCAGCCTCGTACCGGTAGGTGAAGTGTAGGGCTACCCCCCACGAGATGGAGTGACGACCTGGTAAGACATGCAGGAAGTCGATGGATGCAGGTGGCTCAGGACCGTGCTTTGTGGCATTCCTTGGGGGAGGCCTATGTTCAGCAGTGGACTTATGAAAGGCTGTAATGATGAATGATGACGACACTAATCGTAATACTTAGCATGCAAATTGCCAACCGCAGTAACAGAAGTCTCGCAACCTTAACGCCGCTGCCGTCGCCAGTATGGTGTAAACGAGATGCTATACCGCCATCTAGGAGTACCGGAAACCATAGATTTTTTCTCATATGTCCTATAGTCAGCACTAAAACGTAGTGAATAATCACTTTATTTACACGAAAGAGTATATATGTAATACTCTTTAGTCACCACTTACAATATCCACGGGACGAAACGATGTGTAAATTTACTTATTGTTACAATTAAATTACCTTTACATAGTACATACCTTCGTTATCGATAGAGTCGTCGTTTTTTAATTCAATAAGCGTCTGGAGGAAATCGTTTCGCTTGTAATTGTTGTTCCGACGATAATTAACAGTTTGTTTAACCAAATTGTAGAAGAAATCGATGATTTCTGGATTAATGCGTCTTATTTTTAATTTGTTGAATAAATCCGGTGCAATAAAAGCCACTGCGCGTGTCAATGTCCTGTAAAAACGATATCTTTTTATTTCTTTTTTGTTTACAACAAAGAAAAATAATAATATATTCCACAGTAAAAATGTAACGTAATTTCTTACAAAATATATTTATTAATTTTTACATTATTTTTCACATTAGATACGCAGCGGATATTTCCTACAGAGCGGAGGAATGTCCCCAGGAATGTTGTAATGGAGCAAATAAATTGCATTACTTTGCTAAACGAAAGAAGAAAGAGAGAAGAAAGAAAAGAAGAAGAAGAAATTTTAAAGACATTTTATTGATAACTCACTGGACGGATTTCAATATAATTTGGTATGCAAGCTACTTTTATCCGACTACGGCAGTGCAGAAAAAGTAAGGATATGTTTTTTTTCTTTAGAAGTTTGTTTTTATAATAAGTGCTGATTTTTACTACTATTAGTCAGGGGTAACGTAAAGTGTGTAACATAAAGGGGGCAACGCTAAGCTTCTAAAACGTATAATATAAGAAACGAAGTTGGAAACTGCGTCGACAATTTACTTTGCACGTTTTATTAAACAGTGCATCTGAAGTGATCTATATATTATATAATGTCGATTGCTACTGTCAAACAGAATCCATTTTTTGTCGCAGGTAACAGTTCGGTTCAAAATTCCTTCGTTTTGTGCCTGTTGAGCAGTGCAAGGCACGCCTCGGTCGAAGGCGATTATTGAGTTCGTGGGGCACCCATTTATCAAGATTTTTTACCTTTCCCATTTGACGCAAATGGATCAATATTGTTTTAATGCTAAAGTCAAAAGCTGCTGCTAATTTAGTCCTAGATTGAGTATCATCAGCTTCCACAATCGTCTTCAATTCGTCATTGTCTACCAAAGTTTTCGGACGATCACGGGGTTAGTTTTTCGGGTCGAAACTTCCAGAACGGAAGCGGGCAAACCAATAACAGGTGGTGCGTTCGTATATTACAATATTCGCTCTATTCCGTAAATGTCGTTGATGTTGCGAGCCCCTTGTGGCGCGTTGCTGCCAGGGCGGTACACATATGCCATAATTACTCGAATTTTTAACGTATCCATGATGATGAAAAAGATTCAAATGCGATGAAAACATAACTTTGTTTTTAATTTGATCAACTTTCTTTTTTGATTTGAAATGGCCAGTACTGCAGAACGGAAATTTCTAAGGTAAAAACTTATTATTAATGACGCTAAGACGAGCGTTGCGTTATACGATGAGCTATTGACTATCGAAAGTTTCATGACCGCTTACCACCAGGAGATATAAAAAACATAAAATATGCATTATCTACCAGTCAATTTTTGTAATCGGTAAAAAACTCAAAAGAACATCCTTTTGGATTTATTATAAGCCAGCGCCACCTACGCGGTGGTAGGCGATGATGAAACCTTAGGTAGTACATCGCACTGTCTTAGTGCAACAATAGCCTATTCAGCGCGGCTGTTTGTTGCGACGCTGCGGGTCGCTGGCTCGTATGTAGGATATATGACATAATATTTATAACATAATATGGTCTACAAATAATCGTTCTGGACAAGGATGTTTGTCTGTGCCCAATTTATGAATGTAAAACAGCTTCACTATACACTTCCACAGCTTCACATTACAATAAAACCCATAGTTTAAAGTTTTTACTCATACATTTTCCGATTAGTTACTTCAAAGTTACTCTATCCGCTATATCTTCGTTAAAGTTACAGCTAACAAACGTCTCACCACTGGGCACAGGCCTGAAATGAACCGATTGTGATGAAACTTTACGAACAGATAAGAAGATCTGCCAGGAGTGATCAAGGCTATATTTTATCCAAAAATTTGGAGTTTTTTTTGTGTTAAATAGAAAAATTTACAATTACTAAATGAATTAATCTAAAAAAAAAATCTTAATGATATCACGTTAATAGATCACACTCAAAATGGGGTGTCAGGAAAACGTAACAGTTGTACGGCAACTAACCATACAGTTTGTTATTGCAATGCTTTGATATAATTAAAAAATATTTTAATTATATCATAGCATTGCAATATTATAAAAGTAAAGATACAGCCTACATAACATTATGATGTCAAAATCACTTAGTTGCTGTGATGTAATGCTGTTAGCCTATGCGGCTCTTACACTTTCAGACCTCTTATTTCTGACACCGCTATGATGACAAGCATAGATTATTACTGTATATACTAGAGATAGATGCACGACTCAAATTTAATTTTCGTTGTTGCGCTTTGCCCAACAGATGGCGCTAAATTAAAAGTTTATTACGCTCGCCATTTATTTGCACTTCACTATTTTTACTTTATACAACCATTAATTACATTGCAACACTTGTGCATAGGTGCTGCAATGTAATTAATAGTTGTTTATGTTTCTTGTGCTAATTGTTAGTTCCTAATCCAAAAAATAAAACCCGGTTATTTTTTAAATGTTTATTGTTTAAAAATTCTTTGTTTATAATAATAATAATAAAATAAAAATTGTTTATTTCTTTAACTTAGGTCTACAAGCATTATTTAGTGGCCAGAGTCGCCCAGGAAGCATGTAGTAATGCTTGTGTTGGGTGACTCTGCTCTTCCATTGGACCGAGAATAGAATATTTATTTTTAGTGTTTTTAATAACTAAACTAAACTAAGTATAGACTATTTTTTTATTAGATATTTCAAGGGCTAGAATACTAAATGAATGATAAATTTCAGATATTACATTGTGCCAAAACTGTGATTCCCTATTAATCATTTTCATCTTCACCTAGCCCTACGATAAAAAATCTTGGGATCGGTTAATAACAACTAGATTTTATGTCAAGTGTGTGTGTGTGTGTGTGTGTGTGTGTGTGTGTGTGTGTTTGTGCGCGTGCGTGTGTGTGTGCGTGTGCGTGTGTGTGTGTGAGAAGGAGAGAGAGAGAGAGAGAGAGTGTGCGTGTGCATGTTTCTAAGAATGACTGCATGTGTGTTGATAAATCATAAAAATTTGTATAGTCTACGATTCGTATTTAAATAAAAAGTCCTCCACGTCATGGTACCCTAGCGTCTCGAGCCAGCAAACTATTGTTTTTTTTTACATTCATATAGTTGAAGGTTATATATTGAATATTTGTCGTGAAGCTTATTGTAGAGAGAGGCAGAGTGAGCTTGAAACTGACGTCTGGCTAAAAGAGTTCTACATGGAGTAATAGGAGCTACTTTACACTTCCTTCTACCTGTTTGAACTTTGTGTTCATACGGCAAGGACTTATGTAATTGAAGTACAGACTTGATAATATAAAGTTTTCTTAATGACAATATTTTATGATGTAGATATTGTTCATCAGTAGGAAATCTAAATGGTTTAAAAAACATTATCTTAAGTAGGCATCTTTGGGCTCTTTCAGCCTCGAGGAATTTAGTTTTGGTGGCGCCACTCCAGATGGGAATGCAATAACTCATAACAGATTGGGCCAGTGCAATGTACTCTTATATATTTTAATAGTTCTTGAGAGGTTACATGTCTTAACTTTTGAAAGACCCATGTGAGTTTACGGCTCCTATTATTTATAGCATCAATTTGAGGGAGCCAAGACAGTCGATGGTCCAGAGTTACTCCAAGGTATTTAGTACATTTGACACGCTCAATCTCATCGCACCCACATTGCCCATTACAACTAATATCACAGGTGTGAATTCTTAATGTCAGATTTGGGGTGGTAAAGTACGCTTATCGATTGCGAAGCAAATAATGTTAGTTTTGGCGATGTTCAGATAAGAAGAGCGGATTTGAGCCACATTGCAACCCTGTGTAGACCGTGCTCGGCAGCCGCAAAAACAGATTTCCAGGAAGTACCATTAAATACCATGGCTGTGTCATCTGCGTATGAGAATACGTGCCCTCTCTCAATTTTGAGATTAGTTAGTTCATTGAGGTATATTAAGAACAATGTCGGACCTAAGACACTACCTCGAGGAAAACCGTACTCAATTGTAGTGTCAGTACTATTGTAATTGCCAATTTTTACGCATTGGGAACGGTCTCTAAGATAATCAGTTAGGAGTTTTAGTGGCACTCCTCTAATGCCAATACTTTCCATTATTTTTACAATGATCATCAATCATCATGAATGAATGATGATGATGGATGTTTAGTTATTGATTTACATTAGATGTGTTAAATTTAACAATATTTGCACAATATAAATTCATTTCTTTATACAATGTCAATACTGGTTAGTAAATATCATAAATTACAATGAAATTGGTATAAGTTTTATTCAATATAGATACCGCGAGTTTGCGGACTTCATAATATCCTCGAATATTTTACTTGTATTTCTAAGACAACATGTAGGTTTCGTCATGATGTTTTCAACAATGCCATTGGTACCGGCTTGCATCGAACTTGGTTTTCTCAAGTACCGTTACCGTTACGGCCTATTAAAGTCCACTGCTGAACATAGTCCTCCCTCAGAGATTGTGATCATAGATGGGATATTGGCCATAGTTGCTACTGTTTAGCAAGCGGGTAGGCAACCGCAGCTTTTAATTATTATTCGTTAGGCGCTGCTGCTCACCTTCTGATTTGTTTCCCTCTGTCGCCTCTTTCGACACATGCATGATGCATGCAAATGTAAAGGCATTACATGGGGTATTGGATATTGTTACACTGCCTCTCCACGGTTGCACAAGTACGCTTAAATGTTAATGCGAACCACGTTACCACTGCTTTCCTTAAAAATGTCTAAATAAAATTATAAGTTCAGCAAAATTCATATTCTTACCGCGGATCACTTATTGTGCAAAAACATAAGAACTCCTCCTCATAACAACTCAAAATAATAAAAAAACTGCGGTCGCCAATCTGAATTTATACGTGGTAGAGTCACGCTGTAGCTATATTTGTTGTAGCACGAATGGTTCGGGTCAACCGGAGTAGGAATAAGCTCACACAGAATACCATCATAAAATAGCACCTTAGGGCTGCTGTGTTTCGTATGGCGATTGTAGAGGACCGGATACCCTTTTTACTGGAAACGA